AATTTCCTGAATTCAGTGAAAATAAGTATGGCAAAGCTATATTTGCCACGACCTTCATGTAATGCGTTTTGAATAATTATATGAACTCTTCGTTAATTTTCAGGCCCGTCTCAGGCTGTGACAAATGAAAGAAGTAAGTATATTATTCAATGGTGGAGCCTTTGTTGATAAAGCTACTTGATACAATAATTACAGCTATGCACAATGAATTCCCAAAAAATCGTTAAAAACACGACAACAATTCAGGACTAGTAGTAGCTTTATGAGCGCAGATAAGTCGCCCAGCATGGTGACCAAAAGTCGTTATGATTCTGTGGTTTGGAAATCATTCGGGTAGGTTACATGGACAGGTTGTACCTCATAGTGGTCTATGTACAAGCAAGTATATTGTAGTCGCTGGGTAATTCTGCTGCCAGACAACTGTGCGCGGTAGCTTGCGTGCTATGTGCGCCGTGTAATTGCGTGACTAAACTTCCGAATGCGATAATAAAATGAGAGTAGACTGATGTAGATTAGAAACTGCCGTTTCACCGTATATTATATACTCACTAAAACCCGTACAAATCACACAGGCTAAACTAAAGATTGCGCACTACACACTAAAACTAGCTACAGACGAGGGTGAGGACGAGAGCCCCGTTTCTTCCGCGCGAGCTCTCTTATACCTCCCTTCGTAAACTGAGCCGTGAAACCCTTACCAAACATGCTTCTCCCTATCACTGCTGACTACAGGGACAGTAGAGGGGTGGAATTATTGTCTGTGGTCAGTTTGTAGAGTGGATAGAGTGGATGGCCAATGCGAGTATTGAGTGAAAGATGGGTTTACGCCCCCTTCCCCCTCAGGCACGGCGGTGCTTCGTAGGTGGGCATGACGTATGACGTATGACGTATGCTGGTTGATCGTTTACCGTAATTGAATTTTAACAGCTGTTGTAGAAATAAATTTAGGCTAATGTGTGTATTTTACTTGCCGACATCTGACCGGTACTCCGGGCAGTGTTGTGGCCCCTATGTGTGTATCTAAGTATTATGTGTTTGGCAAGCTAACCCGCACGATAGACAGTGATGACGCTAATTGTGTGTGTGTCCAGTGTAGACACAGCTGTTTAGTAGCTGTGTAAAACAACGTTGGTGCTAATGTGATATGTGTGTTCTTCGCCGACAGCTAACCCAAAACTAATGTTGTGATGCGGCTAAGGTGTGTGTCTAAACTGTTATTCGCTGAAAAGTTGACCGCCGTACTATGAAGTGTATGCGGCCAACGTGTGTAGGTTGTAACAGAGCTGCGCACTCATCTACGTGTATATCTATGCAGTATGGAACTAATTTTACCAGTTGTTTGTGTGTCCGCGCAGATAAATCCGTCTCCTTGCCAGCTTGGTGGGTGTAAGATTATGTTGTGGTTGATGTTCGCTGGCCCGGTTATAACGTAACCTCAGCTTGTGTGTGAGCTGGTATTAAATGCGTTCGCGAATGATATTAGCGTTGGCTACAATATAATTACACCACATTGTGCATGTAATGCCTGTCTGATCAACTCTAAATTAACACTGCACACCGGTCCCCAGATGTGAGGATGTAGTATAGCCCGTCTTCAATCTATTTTGCCACTTTTCCAGTCAAATTATGTAGGATTGATAAAATTTTGACTTGGATATAATTTCCTGAATTCAGTGAAAATAAGTATGCAAAGCTATATTTGCCCACGACCTTCATGCAATGCGTTTTGAATAATTATATGGAACTCTTCGTTAATTTTCAGGCCGTCTCAAAGTGTGAGCAATATAGGAAAGAAGTAGGCCCCTAAGTATATTATTCAATGGTGGAGCCTTTAATTGTTGATAAAGCTACTTGATACAATAATCACAGCTATGCACAACGAATTCCCAATAATCGTTAAAACACGACAATAATTCAGGACTAGTAGGTAGCTTTATGAGCGCAGATAAGTCGCCCAGCATGGTGACCAAAGTCGTTATGATTCTGTGGTTGGAAATGCATTCGGTAGATTACATGACAGGGTTGTACTTCTCATAGTGTCTAATGCACAAGCAAGTATATAAGCACAACATAGCATGTAATGCCTGTCTGATCAACTCTAAATTAACATATCTTGGTATTCTGTCTGCAGTATGATGTGTCGGAGATGTAGTATAGGCCGTTATTCAATATATTTTGCACTTTTCCAGTCAAATTATGTAGGATTGATAAAATTTTGACTCGGATAATTTCCTGAATTCAGTGAAAATAAGTATGGCAAAAGCTATATTTGCCACGACCTTCATGTAATGCGTTTTGAATAATTTTATAAACTCTTCGTTAATTTTCAGGCCCGTCTCAAAGTGTGACAAATGAAAGAACTAAGTATATTATTCAATGGTGAAGCCTTTGTTGATAAAGCTACTTAATACAATAATCACAGCTATGCACAATTAATTCCCCAATAATCGTTAAAAACACGACAATAATTCAGGACTAGTAGTAGCTTAATTTATGAGCGCAGATAAGTCGCCCAGCATGTTGACCAAAAGTCGTTATGATTCTGTGGTTGGAAAATCATTCGGGTAGGTTACATGGCCAGGTTGTACCTCATAGTGGTCTATGTACAAGCAAGTATATATATAAGCACCACATGTGCATGTAATGCCTGTCTGATCAACTCTAAATTAACATATCTTGGTTCATTGAAATGTATCAAGGTCCTATTATTCTTAATTAAAAACCATGATCCTTGGATTGATGGGACCAGTATGTGAATACCAAACGTCTTAACCGCTTTGCCACCACGCTCCCCAGACTAAACATTTTCCATTTGCTTTAAGGCTTTTTATAAGTGAGAGAAATTTTGTCGTGTGCGTAGTGTTAAAATGTACCTATTTTTCCACATTTTCAGACCCTGAGGCGGATGCAGTTCTGGACATCGATATATGTCAGGTATGTGGTTTCAGGGGCGCGTTTCACAAAGCTCCGTTAAAGTTCTCCGCTAAGTTCTCCGTTCGCTCTTTAGCGAACGGAGGCATAACGGAGAACTTAATTAGCGAACGGACAACTCCTGTTTTACGAACGCTCCGCTATGCCTCCGCTAAATAGCGGAGGAATGCAGGCAGTCAGCTGGCAGATAACTACAAACATGTGTTGCAGGTTACGTTCTATCATATACATAAGCAACAGCGCTGTGATAGAGATAGGATAGAGATAGCTCTAGAACTAACGCTATGGCAGAGAAGAAGCGCCGCCCAAGATTTACTCCCACAGAACTTGAAATTCTTGTTGATGAGGTGTCGGAAAATACTAGTGTTATTTTCGGCAAGTTTTCTTACAGCCTCACGTTTCAGAGGAAAAAAGCGATGTGGAGTAGTATAGCCGAAAAGGTTAGTAAAGGCTGATTGAGCATTCGCTCATTGTTTGTATGCAATATATGTAGATGAATGGTAGTGTGGGTCGGCCGCAATATGTCATATGTATGTTGTCTTTCATACATTACTTGTTTATTATTGAGGGGCATATACATACTGGATGAGTTCATTATTAAACTGCTACTTGAATGTATTGCTTAATTGCTTTGACTTTAATGTAACAGGGTTTTATTTTATATTATTGAATATTTTCAAGTTATGAACATAAGCATTTATATTACTAGCGTGTAAGTCAACGCACACCCTGAGTAAAAATTTAAACACTTTTTTCTGGAAACTAATGATCATATTGCATTTATTATAGATAAATGCCATAAGCGATATTGAACGGACAGGCGAGGAATGATGATCGAAATGGAGCTACCTACAGAGTGATGTGAAAAACAAGGTTGCACGGCGTAAGAAGGCTGGCAGAGCTACTGGCGGAGGTATCGTTGATCAGCCAGATTTAACGCCTATTGAAGAAAAGGTGCTTAGTATTATTCCGACAGCAGCCACAGAAGGCATCGCTGGTGGTATAGAAAGCGGGATAGCGCATGACGCTCCTGCTTCACCCGGAGCCGTGTCACCTGCTCGGTCTCAATCATCTCAATCATCTCTGTCCTCCCAGTCATCCCAGTCACAGCCAGCTTCACCAGCATCAACACCGATGACACCCGTACCGCCACAGTCATTGCTACAGGAGGAGTTAACTCAGGGAGGATGGGTTAAGTCAGGAGAGAAAAGAACGCATAAAGAGGTAGTGTCATCTAATGAACTGGTGTCTATTGAAAGACAACGACTATGGGTGGAAGAGGAGAGGTTGGAAACCGAACGGCAGCGACTGCGCATGGAAGAAGAACGACTTGATGTAGAGAAGCAGCGACTAGAATTGGAAAACGCAAAATTAGGGAGCAATGCACGAGTGAAACAGCTGATGTCGCACAACATAGAGTGAGCACCTTGTAAAGCGTAGAAGCGAAAAACAAAACACATATATTTTTGCATTTATATATCATGTACTTTTATCATTTATATATTGTATAATGTTATTTGTTATCTATCATATAATGTTATCATCCATCTATCCTATAATGTTATCACTTAGCTATCATACAATGTTATTATTTATCTATCATGTAATTTCATCATTTATCCATCATATATTGTTATTATATATAATCAAGAGCCTATATATAAGGTATTATAAGCTGTTGCTATAATGTTATTTTATATATCAATATTTTTTCATATTTATGTAAAATCAAGAAACGCACAATTAACAAATCGAAAGTCGTAATAATACCCATAATACACACTGTAAATCATTTCAGAAATTCTACTTGCCACTGCTCAAAATTCATACATTCTTTACTTTACTCCAAAACATACTAGCATTAACTGTAAGTATGATCCTTGTGTAATAATGTTTAATAAAGACGTATTTTGTTGAGTGCTATATAATATACTCAGTTTAGTATTACAATATAATTAAAATAATATAAAAGATTTTCATCTTGTTTTTTTTAGTTGTAAAGCCAGTACGTTTACGTTTGCACTTATCACTTGCACTTACTCTTACAGATTACATACTCATTTACAGTTTTACATTGCAAATCTTTGTTGTATCAGCTGCTCCCGCACACGCCTCCCATCTGCATTGTCATTAGGTCTCTCGCCCACATTAATATCGTCACCTCCGAATTCAGCCTTATTCTCATCAGGGAGGAGTGGGATCTTCTCTCGTACTGCAATGTTATGTAGTACAGCGGTTGCCATAATTATCCGACATGCTTTGTCCGGGGTATATCGTAGTGCTCCACCTGTAGACAGATGTAGGCATCGGAAGCGTAGTTTCCACACACCAAATGCACACTCTATTTTGTACCGTGTGCCTTTGTGAGCACGGTTATATCTTCGTTCGGATTCTGTATTTGGATTCAGGATAGATGTCATGAGATATGGTCGAAGTGGATACCCACTGTCACCAAGCAGCCAACCGTCAATGTTTCCCGTTGCGAACGTATTTCCAATGTGTGAGTTTTGGAAAACAAAAGAGTCGTGACTACTGCCGGGCCAGCGAGCCACAATGTTGACAAATTCTAGGTTAGCGCTGCATATGCCTTGCACGTTTATCGAGTGGTACTGTTTTCTGTTGACGTATATATGTTCATCATACTTAGGCGCAGCTATTGCAATGTGTGTGCCATCAACACATCCACGTACGTTAGGAAATCCAGCGACGTTGTAGAAGACCAGTTTTAGCTTGTTCACACTGCCTTGATCTTCAGGAAAGTAAACATGCTGGTTGGCGTGATTTGCCAGTGCTCGTGACACTCTGTAAATTATTCTTGACAGCGATGCCTTGCTGATTCCCAGTGTATCGCTAGCCGTTTGCTGAATACTTCCAGTTGCGTAAAATCATAGTGCCGCAAACACTTGCAGAGAGGTAGGTATGGCCCTAGATCTCATTGTTCTTGGCGAGAGCTCTTCTTCAAGTTGATCCACTAGATCACCAACAACATGCCTAGGCAATCTATATCTAGCGATTATTTTGCTGTCATTGTATGCATCAAACGGATGCGTTCTGTCTCTAAAGATTCTTTCTCTTCGCAGACCTCTTCTTCCATGTTCTCTATTATAGGCTGCATAGAATAAAAAGTTTGCCATGATTCTCGCTGCACACTCTTGCTCGCTGTTGTGGCATCGACGATGGGAACACAACTGATGGAGCGTTAGCCTTACGCATTGTAGTGACGTGTTTTTGGGGCTACGTGCTAATTACTGTAGCATCGTGTGCCACATGCTCGGAACTCGTTATACGTGCTAACAAGAACTTGGTGCTTGGTGCTAACTGCTTGGTGCTAATTAACAGGCTCTTGGTGCTAATCATAATACTCGCTACACGCGTAGAACCTACGTAAATCGGTGGCATAATAATCATTGCAATACATACATGCATGGTA